TATAAGACGTATTTATGTACTTGTTATGAATCTGAAAATTCTCGTGCCAGAAAATAAACTAAAATGCTACATTTTCAGAGAATTGCAATGTTTAAGTTTATTGCGGGTGTAGTAACTACAGTGCCTATCGAATATTTGAATGTAATGCTTTTTAATATTATGTCTCCATTGGTACGGGAGATGACTACGACAGAAGAAACGAATGCTGAATTACGTCAGCTTGCAAAAAAAGTAGCTACTATCATTAAAAATTCCATCGGTAACGAAGAATATGTCAAATTACTAAATCGAGTACAACAAAAGTTAGACATTAAAAAAGCAGAAAGAAGAAAAGTTCGTGCGCAACAGGTAAATTTATTTTTATCATTTTACATTTTTGTTAATTTTTATACTATAGGATATTCATGTTTATAAACTTGTTAAACTTTGTTAATGTATAAATGTTCAAATAATTTATATATACATATTTTTCTATGTCAGTTTGTGACTGATCCTGACCTAGCGGCTAAACGTAAACTAGCTAAACAACAAAAGAAGAAGGAGGCTAAAAAAAGAAAATTAAATAGTATAAAAAAAAACAAAACGGCAAAAAAACGTAGAAAGAAAGTAGATCTAGATGATTTATAATTATAATGTAATATAATTTCAAATTTGTAATATAAATAAACAATTTACGTATATATGATTGTTATTAATAAATATTTATACAAACGATGTAATATGTATAAATTAAATAAATAGTCTATCAACTATTTATTTCTTGAAAAGTTTAGGAAAATATATAAATACTTATAAATAAATTTTATAAAGCATAATTTTTTTGTAAATTTAAACATAAATAATATGTGTAATTAAAACTCTAAATACACAATGCGAAGCAACATCACGGATAGCGATAGAAATAACAATAGCGATAGCGATAGAAACAAAGGAATCCAACATTCGGGAATGCATATGTCACTGCACATCATAGAAACAGAATACAATAGCGATAAATTTCCGATTTGGAATTCTATGTCTATTGCCTTATAGCTTACCTCTGCTTATAAGTAGATAGAAGAGTGTACTACAGTCTATACGTGATCAGATTGGTAAGTAAGTCTTTTATTTCTTTCGCTACATTGTGCAACGGGAGGCGACAATTGTATATCGCTTATTTCTATACCATTCTTCTTGCTGTTTTTGTCACTGTTACCTAATATGATATTATGTCTAGAGCTTAAGTATTGCATAATAAAAATATATGTCGCTTTTATAATTTATTTTTATATACGAATGTATATATTTTTCAAGAAAATATCATTATGGTTTAAAGTTTCATTTTCATTTTTGTTTCATTTTTTCTTAAGAAGTCTAGAATACTATCAATCTCTCCGATTTTTAATATTTCTTCAATATATTACAAAAGATTCTTTTCCTTTTAAGATATGCAAAACCCTGATCAAAATTTATTCCTGAATATAATGAATAATATTGGAATATTACTGATCGAATTTCAAATTGAAATCTAATATCAATTGAGCCACTTTTAATATTTATTTCATTAAGATTTCATTAAGATTTCATTAAGATTTCGTTATATAGTTCAAAATAATATATTTTATAAATAATTTACAAAATATTGTTATGTTTAGCTTCGCGTTGGTGCAAAAATACAATGCGTGTATTAGAATACGTGCGAAAATCAAATGTACAAATGTAAATTTGGCATGCTGCAGATAATTTGAGCTTCGGTTATATAGACCTAGATACATATAGAGCACGACTAAATAAGTTTGTTTTTTTTTTCCATCCCAAGTTCTGAATTGGTGTACGCTGGTGCAATAAGTTAAAATGAAAAATATGTATAGTTTATTCCACTTTAACTTTGCATTAGTTCAGAACTATCACAATTTTTCAAAAATAAACATTTAATTTTACATACGAAAACTGACACCTTAATTAGCAGCATTCCTAGAAAGATTAATTCAACGCTTTTTATTACATTAGCTACGTTCACAGAGTGTTTATATCGTACATTTAGACCGCGACCTATATTCTAAGTTCGATTTTCAATGATTTAGGCTCCTTGGTGTAAAACTGTGAACCATAAATAGTTGGTAGGTGATGACCTATCTTCTCTATTATCAGGTTTCGTTTTTTGATGATCCGACCTAAAATATAGATCAGACCGCAAAATAGGTCTCTTGATGTAAACGTAGCCAATGTTAACTGATTTTATTATTTTTCAGCTTCATTGCAATCTTCCAACTATTATTTCTAATATTTTAATTCTCTCTCTCTTTCTCTCTCTCTCTCTCTCTCTCTCTCTCTCCCCCCCCCCCTCTCTCTCTCTCTCTCTCTCTCTCTCTCTCAAGCACAAAATAATTTACACAATTTTTATCACCTAGAAGTCTGCTTATTTTTAATGCTTTTCACGTGTTGTTTTTTTACTTTTGCTTTTGTTTTACAAACATGAATATACATGTCTTGTGACCGAATTCAGAAAAGTATGTAACTATCTATCTATTTGCACTTTTTGCACATCAATGAATAATTAGGTTTTTGGTTGTCGTGCACGATAAATTTCTAAAACACAAGAGAGAGATTTATATTTGCAGTCATATCACATTATGAGAGAGAATTGAATATTCCGAATATTTTATATATTATAATAAATTGATGTGATAGATATGCATATTACATTAACGTTTATAATAATAGACATGCGTAGATATATTATACATTATACAAATATATCTATCAGATATTCTAAATGTGTCTGGTATATATTTATAATTATTATTTTAATACTGTTATTTTCTCTATTTTTAATATTAAAGATATTTTGGCTGCACATTAAAAATATCAGTCAAAATAAGTTATTATAGCCAATATATCATTCAATATATTTTGATGATATATTAATCTGTGAATATGCTCTGAAATCAACTGCAAAACAAATAATTTTGCTTATATAATGGTTTTATGCAACAAAATATATAACGATATTTTTTAGGTCAATCACTTTTAAACAAATGGTGAAAGAGAGAAAGATTCTCTATCAAGGAAGATTTATCATATCAATTTGTTACAGAATATATAAAATATACAAAATTTTCATTTATTTGATGATTAATCTGATAGCTACAATAGAGTTTTTCTTTTTCGAAATATACTGCGCACATTGACCAAAACAACTACAACGTTTCATAATTATATAGTTCATAGATAATTCGTTAATTATACTTTTTTGAACTTGAGACATACAGGGGATGCGTATTCATGGAAAGCAAGCAATAGTAAAACGCGTTGTAAAAATAACATAACTAAAAGATAAGCAGACATAATATCTATGCAATAAAAATTGCGTAAATTATTTTACGCTTCACGTCGTTCTCTATAATCTTTTCTTGGATATTATTATTTTTGTAGGAAATCTCTATATTTCTTACAGGATATAATCTTACAAAGAACATAGAGGATTCTATAAAGAATTTATTTTGCTTTTCTTCAGGATGGCACTTAACGAAATATTATAGAACGAATAAAAATTATAAGTAAAGATAGATAAAATATACATATACCTTACATTGCTGCAAAATATATTAAATATACAACATTAAGAAAACATGATAAAACGGATAAGCATACGTAAGCGTTTTTGAATTATGTTAAGATAACTCAAGGATGTAGAGATAATACGTATTTGCATAAATTGTGAAAATTCTATTTCCCACCAGTTTAGAAGTTCACGACTTACTTATACACACAGGATCGAAACAACTTCAATTCGCGAACTCACTAAGTCGTTAAACTAACAATAAGAGTTAAACTGAAAGGTATACAGTACTTGTTCTCCGTTATTAACAAGAAGCTGTAAAATTGAAAAGTGACAGTTATTGTATATGTAGCAAATATATATATATCTAATATTTCGTTTTCTTCTACCGTTTAAGCATTCCGTCGAATTAACGCCAAATTATGTGCAATTTGTAGCGATTCGCATGCTTTGGTTTCAAGAAAAGAAACGTGCTTCGTTGGTGATGAACAATAATTGCGAGTTCGAGAGAGAGAAATATCTATTTACGAATTTTGCCGAATTTCAAACTATTTCAAATCATATGAGTTATGCATAATATATAGTTTGTTTTTTAACAAATTTCTTCCAGATTCTGAATTTATTGCCGTGTTATTGTAATTTCTTAAATTTATCCAATTGTTCATTATTTACAATCGATAATACGCACGTGTGTCTTTTATATTTTATGCATATCTTATTTAACAACTTATCTACAAATTGCTGGCCATTAATTCGATTAGAAATAGTTAATTTAGCGTGAATATATCCACTTTAAGCTTCCGAGCCAGAAATAACAGTCGATCAATGTCGAATCGATGTTGATCAACATCCCAATTAGCATACCATATTTAAGAAACATTTTTTAAATGTTTATTCAATGATTTTACAACTATTGTACATTAAATAAATATTTAAAAAATATTTTTTGAATATGGTATGCTGATTGGGATCGATTGACCTGCAATTATTTCTGACTGGATTGTGTTTTGTTGACAAAGCCTCCTAATTAATAATATGTTAATAATTTGCTTACAAATTATGTTAATAAATTCAAAATGTTCAGCTAATCGGTACTAACTACGCATTAAGCTTGTATTATTTTAATGAAGAGCTTGCCGATATTAATTATATAATACTAAACTTATTTTAATAAATTAATAACTAACGTCTTTACCTTGGTCAGTTCTTGTGCCACCAATTTGCTATCAGATTGTCTCTCAGCAAGCTTTACACGATAATTTAAGTTGTTGTAATAGTATTTGCCACCAATTTACTGACATTGAATATATTTAACATACAGAATTTGAATCAAATTTAATACCTCTTTATTGACAAAATTTATAGTAAACATTTGATAAAATTTGTTTTCAACAGATTTGGTTAATTGGATATTACCGTTATAAGAAGGTTAAACGATATAGAACATATATAAAGTTAAACGACGTAAAACAGTCTCGTTAAAAGAAGCATAAAAGCTTTTTGATGCGCGCAGAAGCGATAGAGAATTCGTCACCGTCAGTTGGCCGGATGTGTGTGACGATAATCGGACCAGTTACACAAGTCGGTCCACATGTGCGAGGCAATTTTGTTGCTCGTACATGCAATCGTACACTCGTCTGAAACATGCGTTATTGTGCTAATCCGTTGCGTTAATCTGCGAGTCCAGTTTTTTGCCTATATAAGTGAAACTTTCTATAAACAGGAACGATTATTTTTATTTTAAAATGAGATGAAAATGAGAAAAGTGAGCAAATTCACTAGAATGTTTATAATTTAATTAGTTAATACCTAGTGAATTTCTTTAGTTTTGTGATTTTCACCTCTTGTTTCAAATACACAATCGACCCCCACCCCTCGTAGGTCATATTAGTTTCAGCTATACTCATGTCTTATCAGACGAGACACGGGGACGTTATTGATTGGGCAATCAACATAGATCGGAAGGATCTCATTCCTTAAAAGGTGGTCTACCAGGATTGAGCGAGCAGAACGCGATAACATATTTCGAAGAGCAGTGGCGATAAAGGAATAAAGGGAGATGTTTGTAACCGAAGTTTTAGCGATCTTCACCATTTTTCTTATTATTTTAATATTACAACGGAAAGCAAAGAGCCCGCCAGGTAATTAATATTTTGATCTTTATCTTTACGAGAGTGAATTTAAAAATAAAAAGCACTATGTTCTGTGAAATAAAATTTTATATATAATACTTAATTTTTTATTTTAATTTTTCGATTATTGGAAAAACATTTAATAATGGCTGATAAAGTATTTCTCGCGTAAACGGAGATATCTTTTATTTGTTAATATATTAAAATTCAATGTTACATTTTAATAGAAAATGTGTAAAGGAGAAACTAGAAAAGATCCGTGTTAAATTAATTGATATATAAAAAGTCGAAACGATATTATATTAAAAATTATTATAGAGATATATAATATATGTGATCTCTCTTTCTATCTAAGTAATTAAATAAAATTAAAAGTTTAGCATTAATTCTTACTAATTAATTTAATAATTTTCTTAATTATGGATATTATATGCAGAGATTTGCTAGATATGCTAGATATAAATTTTTAATCATTAATCCTTCAGAATATTTACTTTAATATTTTATTTTATTATTATTATTTTCTTGTTAAAGCGAATTAATGAAAACGCGTTAATTTATAAATTCATAAATGTAGGCATTCCATAAAAATTTTAAATGATAATCATAAATTAAATGCTTATTTAATAATTTGTAATCATATTAGGATTTATTTCGGAGCTGTATTTACATAAGATATGTAAATGTTGTTTCACATTTTGTTCCATCATGTTATTTATTATTAACAAAGAAAAGCAACGTGTTTTTTTTTTAAAGTTAACTTATTCGTTGAAAATTCACAAAAAATTTTAATTAATAGTTCACTATTCTTGTGTGACTTACTAAATTTATATAGTACATTGTTTATAAAATATTGTATAAAATATTTTTTACTGCTTTTAACAAATTAAAAAAAATAAGAAATAATAAGGCTCTATATGTATAAAACAATATAAATATAAATAGGGCAAAGAGCCAAGTAAATTAACGAACTATTTAATTCAAACATCATACAAACGTTTCGACTCCGATAGGGTCATTTTTAATGTAACAAAAAAAAATTGAAAGGTATTATAAATTAAAATAACAATTGCAAACATTCTTCGTTAAGTATAAATATTCTCAATTCGGTAAGATTCAGTCAATGTTGGTGTCGTATGCATAATTAATCCTTGTCAAAAATAAAAGAAAGAGAAGTAACAAGTCATAAATAAAATAATCTCTTCAGTCATTATATTAAAACAGTATAATTAAAAATTAAGAAAGATAATTTGCAATTACCAAATCAAGTACTGATCATTGTGATTACAAATAAGATAATGATAAGATAATTATTCGTTTGTATGATGTATGATTGTTTGAATTAAATAATTCGTTAATTTATTTGGTTCTTTGCCCTCTTTATTTTTATATTAAATTTAAAAGTTTATAGTAATGAGTATAAAATCATGCGTATTACACATTGAGTGAGATAAAAGGTAATTTGAACATAATTCAAGGTAAACTTAAAATTGACTTCATTGCAATTACAATTATGAAGAGGATGTGAAATATGAAAGATAATAAATAATTACTAATAATAAAATTTCGTTTCAATATTCTATGAAATACACTATGTTTTCGCTAAATCTATCCAGCATTCGTGGTATATGCTCTTTTTTAATTCCTTTGTTTATAAATATTATTAATTTGGTGTCTTTGATAATTTATAAATTTAATCGTAAATTTAGTTCTATAAATCTAATTGAAGCAAGTCTAGCTAGAGTCTAAAATAACAAATAAAAATTAGCAAATTACCAATATGTAGGTAAATTTCTTTTCTATCAAAATTTATTTTTCAACAAATCATCTCAAACAATCACATATTTTTTATTTATTAAATATCTTGATTCAAAATTAATATAGAAATGAAATCTGTTCTTTGTAATTAGAAAGCATTACAATATAATTTTCTATATTTATAAAAAAAGTTGACGTATTCAGAAGTCAAATTAATTAAGTGTGTTTCAATGAGAGCCTGATGGGTTACTTTTTAACAATATAAATTAAAATAAACCAATTAAATTTTGCGATAATATACGCGAAGTAATCGTCATCTTCGAAAATTGTGAATCAAAAATATATTTAAAGAAATGTGAATTTTAAAGAATTTAACACAAGAAGTGATTTTTGGAATTGTTAATACGATAGTTCAGTATCTAATTTCCATATTCAAGAAGCCATAATTTTTAGGTCCCTTTCCATGGCCGATTTTTGGAAATCGGTATTATTTAGCAGAATTAACGCGCAAATTCGGTGGACAGCATCTCGCCTTTCTGGAACTCAGCAAGATATATAATAGCAATATTATAAGTTTACGTTTAGGTACCGATAATGTAATTGTTGTCACGGACAGTAAACTTGTACACGAAGTATGTCTTAGTGAAAATTACGACGGACGTCCTTGGAATGAATTTACCAAGTTAAGAAATATGGGAATGAAGAAAGGTAACGAATCCAATCAGAATTCATTACATTAGTATGAAAAAAAATTGTTAAAAAAATTTTTATTTTCCTTTCATATTTACATTTCAATAATACAAACAAATTACAATCTCATCAAATACATACAGATCAATATTTTAAATATTGAGATTATAATAATCAAATTCGCGCTATAAAGAGACAAAAAGCTAATGGACGTAAAGATTATAACAAAAGGAGATTACTACTAGCTGAAACCTTGATGACCCACATATTACATGATTTTATTTGATTTCACATTTTATCTCATTACAAATAATTTTCTTCACTATATATGAAGTCATTTGGTAAAATAAATGATTTTATTTATTTAATATTACACACTGATTTAGTTTTTATGTTCGCATATTATAATTATCGAAGTATACATAGGAATTTTATATGAATTTTATAATGATTTCGAGGATTCTACCTCATAATTACATTAAAGTGATTACTCCCTCGGATTACAAGAAGCCTTAAAGACCTCTGATTAATTATAAATCATTAAATTAGGGATCACGATGAACGACGGCGCGGAATGGAAGGAATTGCGTTCTTGGTCAGTGCGTGCTCTAAGAAACGTTGGATTTGCCAGGCAAACAATGGTGGAACTGATCGAAGAGGAGATGACGCTCATGGTGGAAAAACTGTCAAGCGGTGGCGTGCGGCAAATACGATCCGCATTCGCGCCCGCCGTGATAAATGTCCTTTGGATGCTGATTACAGGACGGAAAGCATCCGAGAATGTCCCAAGGTATACATGTGTGAAATTGTCGACAATTGAAAAATACGTTTCCTAAGCAGCGCGGCACTTCCGTATATTTTACTTCCGGAGAACTCGAGAAAGGAAGTTGCGATCCTGCGTTGTCTCATTGACTCCGTGATTACTTGCAGGTTGCATAAATTCCTGAATTTGATGGAACGTCGCGCAGAACAGTTCGATTTGACCGGCGGGGTTCTAAGCGCTTTCCCCTGGCTGCGTTACATCGCGCCGGAGATGACGGGTTACAACTTCCTTGTTAGATTAAACAATGAGCTCAAGAACTTCCTAATGGTGTGTGACTGTTTTTTTTTTTTTTTTAATGTTAATTCAATTTTTTAGCTTCTTATTAACGCGCCATACTTCGAATCTGTATAGGACACTATCAACGAGCACAAGGAACGGTACGTCAAGGGAAGCGAGGTAGACTTTGTCGACTTGTTTCTCCAGGAGATGTACAGCAACAAGGAGCAGCATGACAAAGTCTCTGTGTTTTCAGGTGTGAGCCCAGTTGCTTTCTATTACCGGAGCGACGTCCAGAGAACACTTCTCGCAATTTTCTCGGGTGTTCGCAAGGAAATTAACGCTTCCTCCCGCGTGCCCAGTCAGTGCGTTAATGAAAGCACCGTGCACGTGAGAGAAAGCGTTCTCTTTGCGAGTCTGCTCGTCCGACATACGCGTGATCATCTCTTCTGTTCTATTCAGACGACAATCTACTTGTGACGTTGATCGACTTCTTCATCGCCGGCATCAGTACCACGACAGCGACGTTGGATAATCTCTTTTTGCAAATGGCCAATCACCAGGACGTACAACGTAAGCTACACGAGGAGATCGACGCTGTGATCGGTCCACATAGGCTCCCCAAATTAGAGGATAGAATCAAGTATAACAGCATTTTTTTTAAAAGGAGCACAATGCTTCTTTAAATTAATTTTTCGTAGGGGAGACATTACTTCTCTTATTCGATGAAATACAATAAATTAAATTATAAGACTTCTATTATTCAATAAAATCGAAAATTACCAAAGGGTGATTTGGAAGACAGAATGCAATAATTAATTAATTTTATTATTGTTAAACATCAATGTAACAATTCAGAATTGTTTTATGTCGATATTTGTCACATTAAATTATAATAAGATTAATTAATTATTGCGCTCTGTTTCCCGCGCCGACTTCAAATAGCCCTTTGATAATTATTTTCGAGTCTCTTATACGATTCTCCTATGCAAGAAATTACTCAAACGTTCAATTTGAATTTCAAATTAATTATAGAATGCCCTTCACGGAAGCAGTATTAACTGAGTGTCAACGTTTATGGCCCGTCACACCTGTAATCGGGCCACGTCGCGTTCTTAAGGATACAGTTCTCGGCAACTATATGATATCAGAGAATACAACGATCTTAATGAATATGTATTCAAACAATGTAGATCCAGATTTCTTCCCTGATCCGAGATCATTCAGACCGGAGAGGCATTTAAACAAGAATGGTGTTTATCAACTACAAGAGAATATTATACTATTCGGAAAAGGTCAGGATAAATTATTTTAAATATTCTTTTAATTTAAACATTCCTTGTAAGAAACGAATTTTACGAAAAGAATAATAGCTGAAATAGTTAGATGTGCACGAAAATTCTTTTGCGAAGGAATCGCTTTATTTGAGTACGTCATTGACGTGTGTAATTGCGTTTAAATCATTCTTGTATACATCGTGATGTATGTACATACATAATTACGATAACACTTTCTTGTTTTCTTTCCTGATGCTTCTCGATTGAAAGGTCGAGCACATGCCTTTCACATTAAGGAAAAGGTGAACGATACTCTCTCAATGTAACGCTTGCGCGACATCCTCTGCCCAACGGATAGTAGCGATCAAATTGAAACCTCGTGAATCGATTATTTCAATACATACTTTATAATCCAAAGAGAAATATATTTTTTTTTCCCTCAGGGAAGAGAAGATGCCCCGGAGAAGCTTTGGCAAAATCAGCTACGTTTCTTTTCTTTGTCAGGATAATGCAGAGGTTTGAATTACTTCCAGTGCCAGGTAAAGGATCTATTCCAATAGAAATAATGGGCGGACTCATACATGGGCCAAAACCTTATGATATGTTAATTGTGCCAAGATAAGATAACACACATACATTATTCGTAATATCTATAAGATATGTTGAAAATTTTTAGCAATTCAAATTAATTTTAGCAAATTGACAAATGTAGAATTGATTACGTTAAAATATAATTTTTCGTTTCAGTTGTATTTTGTTACACTCTTTTGAAATTTGTATATATACAAAAAAAGGGCTAAAAAAGAAAATCTGTATAAATAGATTTTAGAAATTAATTTGCATCTGCTTTTTTTCAAAAATTCTATTTTTTTAAAATAGTATTAAATCACTATATGTAAAATAATATACTGTACAAAAATTTACTGATGTATGTATGAATGTTACACTATGAATGTAAATATTTATGAGCTTTACTAGGGATTAAAGTATTGTGTATATTAAACGCATTTTGTTACAATTTTATTACAAGACTCTTTTAGTATATTTTATTACAATTTCATTATACGAGCTAAAAGGAAACAACAAGTCAAGTTCTGATATCATGTTATAGACGGAGAAAGAAATATCGGCTATACTTCCTTCAAGTGGAACACACGATGCATCTTTCTTGTATCAGATCGCGCGAGAGCTGGCAAATTGCTAGAAATGCGCGCGGCATTTCTATTAACTTACGTTAGTTTATTGATTGTCATCTACCTTTCATACTCTAGCATTTCAAACCGCACGAATATAAGTAATCGAAATCACTTGGTTGCGTCGTTAAATTTATCAGGAAACGTTCTGTAATGCTGCGAATAAAATACATTATATATAAATATATATTATATATAAAGAATATATATAATATTATTTTTAATTATATGGTATATATATAATTAAAAATAATATTAGAAATAACTTTTAAAATGTTATTAATTATATTAAAAATAATTATTTAAATATTTAATTTAAAAATTATATGTAACGAGATAATATATCTCCTGTCTAAAGAAGCACTTTCGTTTGTTAGTCTTTCTGCATCTCTTTTACGCGGAAAGAATGGTTTTATTGAAGTATCTAAACGTTAGATACAGATTTGAAAATAATTTTGTTAAACTATTTTCAAATTAGTAAGTAAAATAATTCTTTCTTCGTTGATTGCTTCGACTATCGCTCCAAGTTGGCATATACATATACTACATATGGTAATTTGTAATCGCCTTGTTTCGTATTATGTATAATGTGTTATGTGCATTACGTGTCACGTATTACGCGTAGCGCGAGCTGTTTGACAAAAAGATTTCCGTTAACTGATCCCGTACATGGCGGTCCGACGTTTGCGAATAACGTTTATTGATTCTATGCCGTGAAAGTTTTGCTTTTACTCGCATGTTTTACGAGTTCAACGAAATCGAGCCTCTTCGTAGAAGTCCAAATGTACCGTCATGTGCTCGCGCGGGTCACGTGGCGATCATCACCGAGACTGAATCTTCTCGTCAGCTTGAGGTAGTACGGTTTCGGCGACACGGTAAAGCCGTCATAGCCGTTCAGGTCCGGCTTGCTGTGCTCGGCTGAGATCTCTATGTCAAAATAATGCACGACGTAGGTGAAGAACAGGAACAACGTGGAGCGCGCCAGCTGCTCGCCCAGACAGCGTCTCTTACCTGAAATGGGAAACAATCACCTGCATTCCCGCAATTAGTTCCAAACAATGGCGAATTGATTATCTTTTCCATATCTTCGCGAAGGTTAAAAAATTTGCGCAATATGGAGAGAGGAGAGAGAGAGAGAGAGAGAGAGAGAGAGAGAGAGAAAAAAGTGGTTGGGTAGAAATGACTTTTGCGTGAATATAATGATTGGGAAAGTGGGACATTAACGGCTACATTTCGACGTGTTGATTGTGTCTCTTCCTTTATTGAAATTTACCTAAACCGAAAGGCAAACCGTAGTTGTTCCGACGGAATTGTCCCTGCTCGTCTAGAAATCGTTGCGGTTGGAATTCGTTCGGTTGTTCCCAGTACGCCTTATCGTTGTGAGCACTATGATAGTCAAAGAGAACAATCGTGTCCTGCATGCAAAATAACGATATTCTTGTAGTTTAGGCGCATAATATAATACAGTGTTTCAAATATTTAAAATATAATGATTTATCGGTAATACATTAATCAGCAAACTTTGATATGTTTTCTTATAGATGGACTCGAGGAGAATCAGTAAAAGTATGAAGTGTGTGCATAATTTATTTTAGGATTAAATATATTAAGGACACTTTAGCAACATTAATTCCTATATATTTCTGAAGCTCATTAGTATAATTATTTATAATCAAAGATACGGTCTATATTACCTTGGGTATTCGATAACCATTTATAGAAACATCCTTCGCGGTTGTATGAGGTACGCCGAGTGGAGCCAAAATCAGATATCTTTGTGCCTACATTAAATATATCATAATCATGTCATTTACGTTGTTGTCGGATATTATAGTATTTAAACATTTTCTCAATTATCATCATCTATTTTTATTGATAATTATATGTTTTATTAGAATTATTTAAACTATCTATTACATAGATATATTATAAGATAAACACGTTAATTGAATCACAATAATTATTTTTTAATGAACATTTTTTCTGACCAGTTTAAATTATTATTGAAATCAAATAAGTATAAAATTGTATTTTTTTTTTTTTAATACATAAAAAACATCTCAACAGTATATTTTGTTCAGATTTTTCTGTAAAATATTAGCTGTCGAATAAGTTATATACTTCATCGTGACAGGTTTGTACATAATAGTCTCTATATTTTCTGTAGTTTATATCTCCTCTGTCTTACATTACCTCGGCTAAGAAAGCTTCCGTTATTGGCAAGGATGATAAATCATTCTCGGTTGGAGCTCGTGACCTACCCACGACACTATCCAACTCGGACTGTAGTACTCTCAACCATTTGGGATTCAGCGACAAGAAGAGAAATATATGCGCTAAGGTGTCACTGGTCGTCTTTGACCCGGCCAAAAAAAGATCGAGGCACAGTATCAATAAATTCTCACCTGCAGTGTGAAACGTGCGGCGCACGTGTGTCAAAAGTAATTTATTACTTACTTATTTCGTCATCGTACAACGTTCAAATTTACTTATTAATTTGAGAGAAGAAAAATATTTAACACGATCGTATATTCTTTTTGTATTATGTAATTTCAATTATTGTTACGAGGTACAGGCATAATTTTGTCTTTCAAAACTTTGCGAAAATATTTCAGACAACTTCAACAATCAACGCAAGGATTTTGAGAACAAATAAAATTTAATATATATAAATAAAATTGTTAATTTAATTTAGGCAAGAGAATACTTAGTAAGTTTGACATTGTACGGTGCAACTTACGATCAAAAATCGTATTCTTTTCATTCTTATCGTTTTTACGAATCTCCAAAAGGAACGCATCAATCAAATCTCGTGGCTGATCATTGGACAGCTCTCTCTCGTGTATCTTGATCTCCTCATCGATGAAGCTCCACAGATTTTCTAAAATCTCCATTAGCTCTTTGTATCCTAATAATTCCGGGATCACGAAACGCAAAAGAGGCATCTGCGAAACCGCTCCACCCATGGTATCCATTAATCTATGTATCAAAAACGATATTTAATTTTGCAAAAATAATTATCTTATTGAGTTTTGTTAAACAACAAATTCAGACAGCATACAATATTTATAGAATATTTACAAAATATTTGTAAGATTTATTTTTAATATTTTGTAAATATTATTTTTGTGGTCTTATAGAATACACAGATTATAGATATTTATTATAAAAATTATAAAATGGTTATCATGTATATTGTAATAAATGCTATGAAAATATTTAATAAGACATTATAGTCTCAGTAAAATATATTTATCTATATTTTTCATAAATATTATATAAAACATTTAGTCTATATTTTAATAACGTTTTTAAATAACGCTTATAGATACAAAATATGTATAAAATATTTATATAATATTTCCAAAAATAAATAATGTTAAATATCTATGAATATTTATTATAAATATTATGTGCTGTCTGAAAAGGATTCTCATCAGGATTTACTTGAAAGAATCGTGAACCAACGCAAGTGCTTCTTGTAGCTTTTGGTCCTCGTACTGAAATCTGTGCCCAGCAATCATGAACCACAGTGAATTGATCACCGCAACATCGAAAGCCGTATGCATCATCACCGCGCTACTCTCGCTCATTTGTTGCAGATGATCAACGAGATTACGAGCCTCTAGAGCCAATTGTTTTTTCATAATTGACTGACCTATACCGAATGTCCGTAGATGCCGCATCGTAAATCTACGAGTCTGTGCCCACATGGTGCCCTCGGTGAACAGAACACCTTGAATAATAAACGCCGCTTGAATATAATAGAATTGAATGACGGAGATACCGAAAACTCTTTATGTATTGTGTCAAATTGTTGTTAAAACAGTGAATAATTTTCAGAAATTTTGAATTCATATTAATTTCAAACGGTATTAATTTCGTTTACTACATTATACGTATAGCTAGGCATACCTTTTCTCTTCCCGAACGATCGTACTCTAAAGAAAAATCCGTCCGGCCGGCTGTTGAATTCTTCTTGGAGAAGAGTCTTCTTTACCAGATCATATGTCGAAATCACCACCACCTTTTGACCTCCAAGCTTTAATCCTATTACAGGTCCATACGTACGTACCAGGTCTTGTATGGCCAGATAAATGTATCCGTGTTTCGAGCGTAGCCATGAGAACTTCAGAAAACATCCGAATAATGGTATCCACAATGGGCCTTTATAGCAAATACAGAGAGAGATTGTTACATAATCAAAAACATTAATATAAAGTCTTTGGTATTTTTGTTCAGCAAAAATATAAAAGATCATTATGTATATCGTTGTTAAATGTTAATATTGAAAACGAGTTGATTAGATTTTTAGATCTAGAGAAATAGTTCTATCTCACAAAGAAAACAATAGTTGCAAATTAAACATTGTGTTAAACGCAGTCATTATTAGAATACTTTTGTATTTGAACTTTAAATTACAATTCTTGTAAAGTAAAATAAAATTAATTTTAATAATTGACTGAGACTTGAGCGCATCAGATATCATTTTATGACGTCATATGATAATAATTAGTATTTTCTTATACTTTTATCACGTAATACACGAGATAACATTGACTAATAAACTAAACACTCACTTCGGGAAGTGATTCGAGACTCAAAAAGAAGGAAAAAAGCTATATAAATATAGGAAATAAGTTGTTTTCGAGTTATTGCCACTTTTATGTTAAAAATATCGTGATTTATTTTTCATAATTATAATTTATTTCATAATGCTTTAACATAAATGACTTCTTTGATCCGAAATAAAGTTATTTATAAATATTAAATTATTTTGTAAACTTATTTATGTTAGAACACCCACCCCATGAAATAAATCATAATTATGAAAAATGATTTAGGATTTTTTTAAACATAAAAGTGGCAATAATTCCAGAAAAACGATTTATTTCCGGATAACTTTGTTTGGTTCCCTAAGTGAGACAGGCGATTTTCCGAACACCCTGTATATGACGAAAAAATTTCGACAATAAATTTATCTCGCAATCAAAATCTCTATTTAAAAAAGAAAAGTCATCTATGACGAAACTGTGTGAATTCTAGAAATCGATTAAATATTCAAAACTCTGTACGCTCTTCAAGGTTCTATAACTTTCTCTCGAAAAGATCGGCTTTCTGAATTAGATACTTTCAGAGAAATTAACTTGTAATGTCTGTGACAAGATACGTCTTTTAATCTATCAACATATCTTTACAGCGTCAAATATGCATGTGAAAACCACAAAAATGCAGTAATCGTGTGAACGTTTGAGCACTAATTACTCGTAAATTGAACACTTCGCGAGTGTCACGTTATTGTTGAGTTTTGCGCTTCACTTACCAGGTGGATAATTTCTCGGTTTAATGCAATCATGGATGCAGCAGAAGCAAATGAAGGTGGAGAGAAGAATGATTGTCAAGTACAGCATGTTCCAAGATACGGCACTCGGCAACTTCTTCCACAATAGTTTATATAGATCTGCGTTCTCTATACGTATACATATGTATATATATATATATATATATATATATATATACGATACACATCACAATACATGTACATATTTACATATGTAACAAAGCAACCTATAAGCTGCTAGTTATAAGAATTCTTATCAGAACGACCTTACGACCCGAAATAAAAATGTCGTTCTCGAACTGCCACTTTAGAGAGAGGGAGTTATGTATCCTGAAATCTCTAGGTTTTGAAACATGACAATATGTTTCTTTGTGTAATTTAACTGATGAGACGTTTTCGACATGCTATTGAAGAAATTTGATATTGATAAAAAATAGCGAAAATCCATACTTTTAATTGCATTAACTGATTTTAACACAAAAATTTATTTTTCGAATAATATTTCAAGTGTAAATGTTATTTTCTTAATTTTAAAATACGTGCGTTAACTGTCGAAAGTTATAAACGATCAAGAGACACACAATCGAGAACGTTACTGATGAAATTAAATTAATTAGTGAGTTTGGATCGTTTCCTTTGGCAAGTTCCCGTGGAGAAAACGAATCCGGACTAATTCGTTTGGAAATAATAAGATTGCCAGGCGATATCCTTGATTATAATTTCTGGTGAAAATCAAGTCGAGGTGACGCCGGTAGCACATTGTTCTCTCCCGTGAGAAATATGCGATACCTAGAAATCTTCTATTATGTTGTAAAATGTCTGTTATCACGATAATCGGCCACCGCGCTTACAGATCCTAATTTGCATATGAATGCACACAGTGCCAAAACAACTAATAAGAAAAGAGTGAGTTGGCCTTGAGTATGTTAGTCTATAAGCTGACTGTTTGTTGCTCTAGAGTCCTGTATATATATTATATATATATATATATATATATGTATATATAAAGACAGAAAAGACTTCGGACTTCCACTATCAAAATTAATTCCAAACTCGTTAGATGCAAAAATAAGAATAACAGAAAGCAGACAACCGTGAGGAATATTTTACCTCGATCGAGCCTTCAATATAACGATGTTTAGCATTTTTTAATGAGATGTATATGTATACATATATATCTCCACTGCGGGCTCAATATACGGCTGCATTAATTAGGCAGAGGCATTATCAATCAGAAATTGCGACGTCAAAGTCGTTTCTCTCTTTATATATAGAATTTTATTTGTTATGCTTCGAAAAAAGTCAAGCAACGTTACAACTACAAAAGAACAGCCATAAATCCTAAAGAGAAGTGCCTTAATTATGCGCATATTCCGCATTTACGACGCTATTAAGCGCAGGAACTAGCAATGAAACATGCGAGACCGTGAAAGCTCGAATACAAATCTTTTTGGAAATTTCTGCAAAACGGAACTTCCGTAAAGGAAGACGACAGAAGATGACGTTGCGTGACTCCCGCGAAATTTCGTAAGCGCGCGAGGGATCTGTCGGATCTGAGAAACTGATGAGAGTCGTACGACATCAGACGAAAGTGAAAATACTTCCTGTCTGTCATATCAGGGAAACGACATACCAGGGAAACGTATCCCGATTTCTCTAAAATTCCCTTCTCTTCTTTTCTTTCCCTTTCTTTTTATTTTCTCGTTCATCGCGCGAACGAAGAAAAGCCCACTCTTCCGTAGTTGGCGCCAGTGAAATCCCATCGTCACCGTCATCAATCGAGCGGAGTCTGCATCGTGCAATATGGTGCGGTCGTACCGGGACAGCACGGTGGCATGGATTAATTTATATCGTTGTGTGGGTGCACGGATACTTTCTCCACGGTCGAGGTCCTCTACATGCTGGTCGCCTCTGCCTTCCATAACAGACTCCACTTTCTCCAATTTCGCAGGAATACGTGCGCGTATTCACGTTGCGTCATCTTCGCTTCATAAGTTTGCGATGATGGCGATTTGCTTTGGAATTGGAGTGACCATTTAGATAGTTTATCTTTTGAGGAAACGGTTATCGTAACGATTTGATACAAAGCTCTCAACATCGGCTTTTTTTCCCGACATATATGATATAAAAGAGAGAAGAAAGTCAACGTTCAACTTAATCGACTGTGAAAAAAGAGGAAACATTATATTTTTAGAGTCGTCATTACTTTTAAAATAAAAAATAATTGATTCGTTTATCATGATTGTCAGCATCTGTTTTGATTATAGTATAGCATATTTCTTTTTCAAATGTTCCGTTAAATTTATCAAGTTACTTATATTTCAAAACTTTTATCGCTTATAAGAGATAACGGACGTATTATTTATCGTTTGTTTTATGTAAAGGAATTTCAGATAATGTTTCTTATATCGTTCAATTATCCCTCTTGGTGTGTAATTTAATTTGTTCGCGTTTATCCTGTTTACTATGAGTGCTTCCGTAATCAATGAAATTATATGCAATGATAAAGTTGGATATGTAGTAAGATATAGGCATCGGTGCTTTCTCTCATTCAATGATAATTTGTTGTACTTCTTTCTAGAAATCTAAAATAGAAAATTAAATCTAAAGTTTCATGTTTGCAACAATAATAAGAAAAATCAGACAAATAAGAACAAATAGTTGTAAATGTAATGTTTGATAAATATAATGTTTTAATTACATTATTAGCAAAGAAAATGACTGAATAACTTTTAGAAAGCAAATGTAACTTGTCTAAAAGTGTATGCTAATTATATACACTTACTGCACAATGAATATTCAATCGTATTTATACTGAACGCATTCGACGTCTTAAATTTTCTTCGTTGAATTCATTCAACGTATACACATTTCCGAATATGTAGAAAATAAAAATGTGCACAAAATTGTTTTTTCTGTTATTAAAAATGTTTTCTAAGTTCCACTCTCGTCATGTATATCTGACTTATCTTTATTCTATTATCGTATCTCCCAGACAGAATAGAATATTTATAAAATACTTAAATATTTTATAAATATTCCGTGCTGTGTTCGTCTGGGATATCAAGTGAAAGTTTTATCATGGTTTTTGTAAAACATACTTGAAGACAAAGGGTGAAATAACGATAGCCAAAGAATTAACAAAATATTTATAAACTTTATTCGTAACAGTATTAGTTAACAATTGGAGAGACAACAACGTGTATATAAAAAAAGAAAACAAGGAAAGGGGCAAAAAGGTTACGACGTTTCTATAGGTAAAGGAGGTACCTCGAAGGACAGGGAGCGCGTCAGTCAAACAATTTCGAGTAACTTAAGTTTTACACGACCTTATATTAATAATCCTAAGATGTAGTATATACAGCGGCTTATGTTACAGCATTCTCCGGTGGAGATGTTTGTACAAGCATTTTTTTGTGGATTACAGTGCGGATTATTCTGCACGAAAATCTAGCTCTGTCAACGGCTAGGGAATGCAAAGTTGGCTTGGCCTCCGTTTTGATTAACAGGTGGTGGTACTAAATCCTGCGTGATCGTCGGCGAACCTGCTTGGAAAGAATCGGAACTGTCCCATTTGACTTTGTTATTGTCCACCTGACGTTGCTGTACCTGGTGTTGCCGTGGTTGCGCTTGTTGTTGCTGTACCTGCTTGTTCTGCTGGGTTCCTTTCTCAGGACTGTAAGGCACAACTTGAGTGCTCTGAGCCTGTGTGTCTTTACGGTCCCAGCCGTGATGATGATGATGGTCCTCAGTGGGGAACCACTCGGATATCCAAACTGGTTTCCATATCTTCTTCCACGCTGGTACCCAGATTTCTTTCCAAGCAGGCACCCAAATTTGCTTCCACGCTTCCTTCCAAGCGAGCTTCTTGTCGGGGATCCATTCTAGTTTCTTCTCACTCTTCCAGATTTGCTTCCAAGCCTCCTTCCACTCGAGTTTCTTGTCAGGGACCCAGATTTGTTTTTTGGCCGGCTTCCAGATCTGTTTCCAAGCCTCTTTCCAGGCCAGTTTCTTATCCTCTACCCAGATTTGCTTCTTCGCTGGTTTCCAAATTTGTTTCCAAGCCTCTTTCCACTCGAGCTTCTTGTCCGAGACCCAGATCTGTTTTTTCGCCGGTTTCCAATATTTCTTCCACACCGGCTTCCAGATCAACTTTTTCTTCCAAAGATCATGGCTGGTGTATTGCCATCCATGATGATCCGTGCCGTGGAAGTGTTCGCCCGGTATGCCGACCTTCACCCATTCGGGTATCCAGAGTTTCTTCCAAGCAGGGACTTGATATTCTTTCCACACTGGTACCTGAATCTCTTTCCAAACGGGCTTCCAAATCTTTTTCCACGCGGGTACTTGGATGTCTTTCCAAGCGGGTACCTTGATTGGCTGCCATATCGGCTTCCAGATTTTCTTCCAAGCCGGCACCTGTATCTCTTTCCACGCCGGAACTTGAATCTCTTTCCATACAGGCTTCCAAATCTTCTTCCAAGCTGGTACCTGAATTTCTTTCCACACCGCTTTCTGGGTTGGCACCCAAATAGGCTTCCAGATTTTCTTCCATGCAGGTTTCCAGATTTGTTTCTTTGCCGGTTTCCAAATCTTTTTCCAGCCCGGCTTCCAGATTAGTTTCTTCTTCCAGTAGCCTTTATCATGATGATCGTCATGACCGCCATGATGGTCTTCGATTCCTCCGCCGCCAAAATCACCTCCACCTAGATGACCACCGATATCACCTCCATGACCACTAATATCACCGCCGCCTGAGTGACCTCCGATGTCACCCCCAAAGTGACCGCCGACATCGCCACCGCCAAAATGACCGCCACCGTCACCACCTCCAAAATGACCACCTACATCGCCACCTCCAAAATGACCGCCGCCATCGCCACCTCCAAAATGACCGCCGCCATCGCCACCTCCAAAATGACCGCCGACATCGCCGCCGCCACCGAAGTGACCACCAATATCGCCACCCCCATAACCACCGCCGCCATAACTACCACCGTCGCCTCCCCATCGTTTTTGCGCTTCTGTACCGTATCTGTGACAATCATTTAACATCGAAATCTTAATAAACTTTATATTCATATTCGTTATCTTTATCTTTTTTTATATACAGAAAAGTCTTTAAAATCTGTCTATATTTATAAATTATTTTCATTAAAATAAATACAACTTTGAAATGCACCGTAAATCATCAACATTTCGTAATTTACACAGATTAAATCTTTACAACTTAATAAGAAATTTTACAACGTACGCATTATAATCAAATGTGGTTTGGAATAAAAAATTGTCATTCCTTTTATTAAAAATTAAAATGAATTAGGTTAAAAGTATAGGTTTGTAATTCTAAGAATAAAGAAAGAATAATTCAATATAAATAAAATGTCTACATCAGCTTTTCGCAATTGTTAAAACGTAAATTATAAATGGAAATTTATTTAGGCATTATATTTGTATTAAATTCTTTATTAAAATTGTCATACGTACGGAATCTGCCGCTGTGATTTCTGTTGTATTTGCGTTTGATCCACAGCTTTACTCGCCACAAGAACGGTCTGCAGTAGCAGCACTAGCACAGCCTGTAAACAACAAAATTATATAATAATGACATAAATTCATTAATAGTTATTGATAAAAAAAATTGTTTGTCTCTTAAATTTTCTCGTTAATTTTTATTATTTAATATCATTGCGTTAAAATCATAGTGAGTTAAAATAAAAAAATAGTTAGTATTGACAAATTGGGGTAAACGAGAATGTAACTTTTAAAATTTCTCTACAATAAAGTACACATATATTTTAGATATTAGGTAGATAATTTAGATATTAGGTAGATAATTTTAGCGTATAATAAATATGCTGGCTGATAATATTTATTAGAATATATAAATTTTTCTAAATAAAATAAATTAGTTCAAAAAAATTATAAAAAGATTAGCATTTATACATAAAAAGAAAGGCCATAGCTTAGATGTTATTAGCATCTTAAGACATTACCTGAGACAGTCTTAAGATTAAGAACTACACATATCGTCCTAGAATAAGAATCATAAATCCAAAAGTTTATAGATTTGTATATAAATAGAATCCTGTGGAATTTAAAATCACGTATAATTTTGAATTAATAGTCTTAGATCTATCAAAGATAAAAAAAGAAATTATATTGGCAACTAGACTTATAACTCCGTGAGTTTATAAATATACATAATCATTTTTTAATTCACAAAAATATTGGTGCATGTTTGTGACAAATTCTTTGCTTCGACTTGATTATAACAAATGCGCGGTTAAAGATCTAACAAAAGACTTTTATACATCCTGTCCGAAATGGCGATGGTTTATATCCGTCGGGTTGAGCACCACGCTCGTTCAATAAATGACAAACACCGAAGAAGAATATCTCCACGAACTTGAAACAATGCACTTTGGATTTTTTTTTATGTATATTGCGATGCAACCATTTAGATCGCGCCAGTTAATCGTAGAAGATCTGCGCGAGCTGATGACAAGTATGACGGGTGGTAGCATGACTCGGAAAGCACAACGCGCGCGACTCGCACGGAACACCGATTGAAAGAGTGAAAATTGATAGAACAACTGACCGCGCATCCCGGGCGAATCCTCATATTTCTCGCAGTGCCGCCCGTCGGGCTCGGGCCGCGTACTCCTGTTCCCTGGGCGCAGGAAAACGTAGCTTACTTCGTCCAATCACTGGAACGCCGTAGTTATATAGGCGCGTATCCTCCCCCGAAGGCATCACCGCAGGAGCATCATGGTAAGGAAGCAGATCGCGTGAACGGCGGTGATGGCGAACCGTCGACGGTGGAGGTGGTCCCGTCGGGTATCCTACGTAGTGGAAATCGGGGAATTTCATCTGCGAGGTGGTGGTAATGCCAAGTACTGTTTTGGGTCCCGGACCCCTTACAACCGAACCCTCCTCCACCTCCTCCTCTTCCACCATCGTCCTCCTTCTAACACCCCCACTTCCGGAGCGCGACCAGGCCTCTGTCCAGGTGAGCAATATCATCCACTCGGAGAAAGTGATCGAGAGCACGATCCAGTCGAGCAAGCAAGAGCGGTTCCAGTTATTCCCGCGCTTGTGTTTCAACAGCGAAGTTCAAGACTCGCAAGGTTATGCGACAAGGTTATGCCTCGCCTTCACATTATTTCGATATATTGTCGGAAAGAGAAAGAACGGAAACACGCCTAATGCCTTCCACGTTAGATATCTAGAAACAAGGTTTCTTTCTAGCCGAACCGGTCTCTGTCCCATGAGTCTGCTGCGAAAGCTACGCGCTATCTGTTTCCTATTAATAAAAATAAATATATTGGTATACATGGAACATTTAATTATCAATGATAATTTAATATTACAGACACGTCGTGATATTTTTCTAAATTATAACTGGAACCCGAAACAAGTTTTCAGATCATTGATCTCTTTTAATATTAAAATAATATTTTTATATCTAACAGTATGCGAATATTTCTATACATATTTATAAGACATAAATCTTTTTGAAAGTGTTTAAAAACATTTTAATTCCAAATACATATTGTTGAAATACATAAAGAAATCTTAGATCAAGATAAAAATTAAAGAACTCTACTTGCCATATGTAATAAAGCTATCTGTTTCTTGGAAGAATATGAATTTTTGAGCATTAAACCATATCTAATTATAAGTATTTAAGGGCAATTTTTATTATATTTTACATCAAGTAACATTAATTAATAACCATTGATATAAACATTACTATTAGTATGATTGTTAATATAAATATTGGATATATTATTTGTTATATATAAAAAGAAAATTTAATAAAATATAATTACGTAGAAAAAAAAAGAATTTATGTTCTAAATCTTAATACAAATTTCTTTGAAACGTAAACGTTTACTTACAGTAGATAAATATTTACTCAATTAAAAAAGTATATAAATAAATGATTTTTAAACGAATAAACATCTATATTTGCAGTAAATATTTACTTACAACACTATTCAAACAAATAATAAAATTGATTATCTTTATTCAGTGTAATTTAAGTGAAATCCCAGCTTACATCCTATAGCGATTATTGTTTATGTAATCTTCAAAGTGGTGATACGTGTCCAAATGACAAAGCGAAATGAATGTCGTCTATCAAACAAGCGAAATTGGTTGTGAAACGGGATAGGTATTTTAATAGGGAGAGCGTGGAATTGAGGTCATTTAAAGGCAGTTCGAATAGAATCCTCTATAACGTATTGTAGAAAGAATTACCGAGACGATCTGAGACCTTTGCCGCACTCTTAATCGCTCCGTTTTGCGCTTACGACCGGCGATTTTCTTCAAACGACGACCGCTTGTCCGGAGAAAGCGTACGGGAGAACGGTTTCGTGCATACGGAGTGTGCAAGCGCATTTTTCGCTTTTTATCGCGGGGACAACAATGCGCGGCTGCTACAACGAACAGCTGGGAAAATAAGATCTAACGAGGGCCCGTACGTGAGATTCCAGAGTGATAGCGAGAGTGCCAAGACACTCTCGCTTGCCGAGGAATGATATCGAGAGGCAGTATCAAGAAGGAGATACCGTCGGTGACGACAGGTGATAAAAAATAGAAAACGTAAAGGCACCAGAGATTGATGCGAGCGCGTTCAAGTGGCGTTTAACGGTAGACGTTAAACTGCGTTAAGTGCATGTATCCGTTTAACACGTCGCGTCGACTCACGGATGAAAGTGAATTCCCTCCGTCCACGTCGATCGCTAGAGAGTCGATATGTTGCGCCTCGATATTCGCACACGAAACTCGGGGTATACGTTCCCGCTATTCCGGTTCGTAAATCATTCACCCGTTGGCTGCTCCAGATTTTCGAATCCGCTGGCCTGAGAGCAATCGGGGGGCAAAAACGCCAGAGGGGATATTCGGCCGTTTCCCTCGTTGCGAGGATATTCGCTTTCGGATGGTTGTGCGCTTATAATTGGATATGATTGCGAAAGAAAGGTCCCAATATGAAATGTATATAAGAAATAATTAAATAAGAAACTCTCTCTCTCTCTCTCTCTCTCTCTCTCTCTCTCTGAAAATCTTCAAAGTTTTTTGCGTGCATTATCTAAATTCTTTTTATTACATGGACTTTGTAAAATTAAACATTCTTCTTCATACAATGAGATAATATTCTGTGATACTTCTAGATAAAATCTCGAGCTATCAAGAATGGAGAATTCTAGTACGCACAAATTATTGTATTATTAACTTGTGATCGATCGAAACGCATTTTATCTTCTTACTATTCTTGTCCTTATTGTATTATCTTTTAGAATCTCGTATGGAGAATGGCACAATTAAGGAGAAATTTGAAACCTGAGACGAGATAAAACAATATCGGCAATCACGCGGATGAGATTGGAAACGGATTCGTGCGCTTGTCTACCATTGAAGGTAACCCAAATAACAAGAAGACGTTTCTCGAGAGACCCGGTATCTTCGTATATCTTGAGGGTCGCAACATTTAGAAAGCAAAAGCGTATATATACGCGTATCATCCGATATGTCGAACAGCTTGAGTGTAAACGAGGATTTCTACCGGCCCCAATTTTCTATTTGCACTTGTCTTAAAGATTTTTCAAACGTCAATGACTTTGAAAACGAAGGTTTATTGACGTAAGAAGACCTTTGCCTCGAAACCTTTGATGACGTTGATAATCTTATTAAGGAGACTGTTATACAATGAGTCGACTAAAAGCAATCTGTTGCACCGTTATTAGATAATCACACATAATTCGATGAAATAACACGTTAACCTATCCGTGATCTTGATTTATTTGATTATTCCATCATATGTTTAACAACGATTTATATGTAGGTATATAAGTTTCTGTTCCTTTTTAATATCTTGCTTTTCGTCTGATAAAAGCCAGAAGTGAATGTTTTATCTACGTATTTCAATCACATTAATTCTTCATAATTTTCACTTTTTTGCGTTTCCTCTAGTTTGCGGTCTAATTAACTGTAGATTTACTTCTGAAGACCGGAACAGGACTTCTTAAGCGCTTTAAATGCCTAATTAGCCTTTCTTATTCTTATTATTTTTCCTTACCTTGTGGCCAAGCCGTTAAAATTCTTCCGTAATTTTATGCTGGCTTTATCGGTCTACGCAAGCATCTCAAGTGCTTGATTTCAAATACTCGATGCATTCTGCTGCGCACACCGTTGAAGAAAGTTCGCGGAAGAAAGTTAATCTTTCGAAATCGTGATACGAGAAAGATACTTTATGTTTAAATTTCTTCGAAACCCTCAGAAGAATCGACATTTTTTAATTCCCTTAAGTCCCCATAAACTAGTCAATACTCGTATCCAAATATTAAGGAAAGTAAATAATGATCACAAATATCTGAATTTATTAATAAAAGTATTATCTAATTAATGATAATTGCCTCCGTTTTGCTTATATTATTATTATTAATATTTAGTAAAACAATAAAGAGTTTTCCAATGCATAATAAATATTAAAATTTAATTTGTCGAATCTATAATTAATCTTGCAGTAAACTATTTGTAGATATAATATGCAATCGCGGATAATTACTCATAATTGTAAGCTAAAACGATTTTCATCAGCATTAATTGTTTTGTAGCAGCGTAAATTAGATGCTCAATTCGAGTACAAGATGTCGTATTTTAATTGACGCCACTCTAAAGCTGTAAATGACAACGGTTATTGCAATAAGGAGAGATCGTCTCTAGTTTTGTGACGTGCGGCATATTATTTCGCGAGTGAAAAGTCAGTCGCATTGCGATGGCTCCGAAACCACGAATGACGTCGAGCATCCGTAATGTCGTTGCGTTCTACGTTCTTGCGGTGACTATAAAAAGATACGTTACGTAATATGCCGTTCGTCTTTGCACATTATTAATTAGGACGTCTACCGCATCGTCATTGATTACGCACAAGGTGACGATTGATATCTCTAAGCTTGTATACTAATTTGAATAGCCACTTTAATTTAATACAGCCATCTACATCTGCTTATCTCATCTGCATACGTCAACCATCCTCTCGAATTATTTGTCATACTCGGAATTCAAACAATGGTCTCGATGTTCGCATCCGTGCGAATCGGAGGGCTTTCTTTATAAGACGGAAAAATAGCAAATCTAGCGCGAGAATATAAGCAAATTTTTTCCGGCTTTTTAAACAAACTCTCTAAGTCGGCGTAATTACCGTAGTCGCGCAATTAGTATTAGTGCTGCACGCGATGTAAATGCTTCTTTGGAAGTCAGGATTCTCATGTACAAGAATGAAAATACTCTTTTGCTAATGGTATACCTCGTCCTAGAATGCGGAAATTAAAAATATTACCTCTGAACTGTTAATGAGGATTTATCTATTCTATATTCCGTATCTTTTTGAAAAACTATGATATATTCAATTAGGAAATTGATATCTATGTTGTAATAGAAATAATTTGAATATCTCCACAAATTAGACGGATAAAATATAACGATGTTCTCGCCACTAAATTGTCATTAATAACACTTATTATAATATCTAGGAGGAATAGAATATGTTAACTATGAGGAAGCATGTAGCAATGACTAGACAGATCATGACAAATTGCGGAGTCCGTCTCTTACATCACATATCAGCCGAAGCACTTTAGTCAGCCATTTAGCACTTTCACCGAACTCTCCTACGC